TAACAGCTCCTTTGACAAATTTTCGCTGGTGTGATTTTGATTAAATATGGAACAAGAAAGAAGTTTATATTGCATTGTAAAATTCGTATCTATAAAGTGGGCAGTTATTGCCATAAAGCTCTCATTATTAGAAGATGTCCAACAATCTGTTGTTATTGAAACATATGGCTTTTTTTCCAAAAACATATTTTTCAAATTAGATTTACATTTTTCATATAGGCCTGGTATAATTGTTTTGGAAATTGTTTGACGGTTGGGTAAATTATAGGCAGGATTCAAAGCCTTTACTAATGAAACAAATCCTTTATCTTCTACCATTCGAAAGGGTTGATAATCAAGATAGAATAGCTTCAGTAATTCCTTGTCAATCTTGCTTTTTGTCGCGTTATTGAATTTTTTTGGGACAATGTAATCTTCAATTGTACTATTTTTTCCCCTACCTCGAACTTGAAATAGATTGCTGTTAGAGACTATGTGTTGTTTTATGTTAGTTTCTGATCTATTCACACCTGAAGGGCCCTTAAATAAATTAATAGTTTAGTAATTTCATTAGTTTTTCAGAAAAATTATGTACTTACTGCTGTATCTTTCGCTGTAACTGCAGATTGGGTCAAATTCTCGATTTCAACACCAATGGTCGATGTAGAACTGGCACTAGTAGCATTGCTAGCAGGTTCAGGTCTAATAAAGGTTACGACACTTTCTGAGTTATTTAACTTAACTGTTGGATGTTTTCTTTGCATGTGTTTTTTTAAGTTTGATACCGACGATTTAAACGAACATACATTATGACATAGATCACATTTTGCTAATTGTTTTTGTTCATCACAAACATTAAAAAAATTCCAGAGAATACTAGATTTTCTACTCATGTCACAGAATACTTTCTGTGCTCATGTTTTAATAATATCAGCTGTGATGGTTTATACCCGTCACAGGCTGATAACAGGAGAAGTCATGAAGTTTAATTCAATATCTCTTCCAATAGTAAGTTCCTTCAAATACTTAGGAATTGTCTTAGACAATAAGCTTACATGGAAAAAACATATTGATTATACTTTATCCAAATGTGAAAGATGCATTAATATTCTTAAATGTGTCACAAAATTTAAATGGGGTGCAGACACAACAACGTCGTTAATGTTTTATAGATCTTACATCCGATCAATCATCGACTATGGGTGCATATTATATGGATCAGCTGCGAACTCGAGCCTTAAGTTATTAGATTGTATGCAAGTTAAAGCAGTCAAAATATAGGTCTTTTCCTTTGCATCGAAAGTGTAGCACTGAGCTACACCACTTCTGAAAATATCGTTCCATTTATACAAATTGTATGGATGGAACAATATTTTCAGAAGTGACGTAGCTCAGTGCTACACTATCGATGCAAAGGAAAAGACCTAATGTCTCGGTGCTTTTAAATCTTCCCCTACTCCAGCGGTTCTTGCGGAAGCACAAGAGCCTCCTCTTCACTTACGAAGACATTTTCTAGCATGCAAAAGGTTAGTTACATTTAAAATGTTTTCGGAAAAAATTCTGAATTCTTCCTTTATCCTGAATATTGAAAACCTAACCAACAAATATTGGAAATTTAAAAATAGTCTACCTTTGGCTGAAGCCTGTGTATCTTTAAACCAGTTTTTAAATAAAATTGAGTCTTACGATATTCTTCCTATATACCAGCTTAATTTTTTCTCCTTATTGTTCAAGCCAACAATCTTATTCCCTGAGTTTACTTCTTCCCCTAAAATTAATAACATAATCATAAAATCGGTATTGGGAACGCTAGATACAGTTAATACTATTTTTTGCGATGGGTCTAAAGGAAAACAAGGTACAGGATGCGCTTTTTATGTGGAAAATGAAAACTTTATTTCCCAATTTCATTTACCAATTTATTCATCTGTTTATACAGCGGAGGCTTTTGCAATTTTACAAGCACTCAATTGGATAAAAAGCTATGGAGAAAGCAAATCGGTTATTCTTTCAGACTCGAAATCTGTTTTACTTTCAATTTCTAACTATTCCTGTAATATTAACAAAAATCCTATTATAAGAGAAATTATTCAGTCTCTCCTTACTCTTCATAATTCTAAAATCAAGATCGTTTTTATCTGGGTTAAAAGTCATAAAGGGGTAGTTGGAAATGAAAAAGTCGATTTAGCTGCTAAAGAATCCATTCTTCTTCCAACTATTAGTAATATTCATTCTCCGCAGGATATTATTCATGCAATGAAACAAAATATTAGATCAAGCTGGGAGAAACTTTGGGAACACTTTGTTTCTCATTCAAATAACCCATATACATTTATTCACCCTGTTCTTCCAAAATCTATTCCCCACATTACAAATTTTAAAATGTCTAGGTATTATTGTACCACTTTAACAAGGATGAAACTAAATCATGGGGGTTTTCCGTCTCACCTTTCCAGAATTGGTATTAATATATCACCTTCCTGTCAATGCGACAATTCTTCTTTTGCTGATATCAACCATCTCATTTTTTCTTGTAGCCACCATAATTCTCATCGTTCAGATTTTCTTAAAAAACTTTCTTCCCTGAATATCCTTTTTCCATCAAGTATTTCTATTTTATTAAGTTCATTTAATGAGAAAATATATAACTTAATTATTGAATTTTTAATTAAAGAAAATATTAAAATATAAATAAATAAACAAAAAATATAATTCGGTTTACAAAAGTCTGTGGCCAAAAACTACGTTTAGATGCCAATTCTCAAAAAAAAAAAAAAAAAAATAATAATAATATCATTCACTGACTTTCTGCACTAACAATTATACACGCTATAGGACTAATCCAAAAATTAAAACTGACTGAAGAAAAAATATTAAAAGAAAATACGTTATGTAATCGATACAAATTTTTAAGAATGTTGACTATTCCGAATGAAACCTTCAAGGGTGTCTATGTTTATATTAACAATATTAAGACGAATGAGACACAAGAGGAACAACGAATTTTTGAGGGAAGATTCATTCTGATTATCGCATCGCATCGTAAGCTAATTGCACTCTTGCTTTTTTCTCTATTTTGATATTTTTGTGTTAAAGACAATTTTATTATATTACCTTTTATATTATTTCTACTACAATAATAGTTTTAGTGTTTTATTTAGAAATAGTTTACAGTGGATCGTTGGAATAATATTCAGACTCTGTCAAATTTATTTATTATTCCCTAATGCTTAAATAGAAAAAATGTCGACGACACCAAGATAAACAGGTTTGCCAGAAAGAGGCGTTAAAGTATAGAAAGTACTAAAATATAATATAATATACAGGGTGTTCTGCATAAGTACCGACACAGAACAGGTGCTTGGACAAGCCCAAAATATGATTTAAAGCAATTTACTTCTATACCAAGTTGTACCCCTAAGGAGTTACGGAAGCCTGAATATTTTCAGGCCATAAATTTCGAAAAAATTTAATATCTCTACAACCGTTTGACATAAAAAAATCTATATTTAAGTAAGTCCTAATTTGGAGGTAAGTTACAATTAATTGAAATATTTTAAGGGGTGGTTTTGGGGTAACCTACCCTTACAACTGTACATAACTTTTTTGTCCATCCATTTTAATTTTATTTTATGTAAAAATTTTGAAACCTTTTTTACCTAAGTATTTTATTTTTTAATAAACTTAATATGTTTCGAGAAAAACAAGAAAAATTAAATCAATAAATTATGACAATGATAATACAAAAATCAGTTGAAACTTGAGTTGGCCATGCATTTCTTAAAATAAATTTAACAAATAGCAAATTACTCTTGCAATAAACTCGATTTAAATGAAAACACAATTAAAACTAATAATAATATAGCTATATATAATAACAAAAATTAAGGAATATCGTTTGTTTATTTTTATGAAAAAAATGCCTTTGTAATTTGCCGCTCAGTTCCTGCACCTGCAGATTACCACAAATAAAAACATGTAATTCGGCATTCGACTGCTAAGCTGTCTTCCAAAATAAATCATAAATCTCGCCAACACGCATTTTTTTAGTTGCGAGATTAGGATATTATTTATTTTATACTTGGCTAGTCCAGGGGCTGGTAACTCAAATGGAAAAACATGAGGCTGGTAATTTAGTACCACTCCAATTAACGGGATGGCGCTCGTATCGAACTGTCATGTCAGTTGTCAGCTCGTCAAAACTTCAAACTCAGATAAAATAAAATGGCTATTGTATTTGAAGGTGTATTGAATTTTGATTCATCTAGAATCTAGATTTATTTTTCAACACTTTCCAATTTTAAGCATGTTTTCAAAAGATGGGAAGATGGATTTCAGCAACAAACAATAAAGCACTCCCAGATATTGGTAGTAATGCAATTTATACCACATTAAATATGCAGTCGTCCCCCAAATTGTAATAAGTGTCTTAAGAAAAATGTACCATCACTGTACCAACGGTAAGTAATATTTACAAACTTGTATTTGATTCAGTGTTAAAATAATTGGTTTATTTAAATTTCTTTTTGTTTTCAGTTTTTAAATGATCATTTTTGTAAAGAAAATGTTGGCCCTCCAAAATACCCTGTCGATCGATGAAATATTTGAGCCTCAGCCATCAATATCAAAAATTGATTCAATGCCATTGACATCAAACAAGAAAACACCCTAAAATCTTCAAGGTTCCAAACGTGTGTAAGTTTAATTTATGCTCAAAGTTAAATTTATTTATCACCCTGCCCACATGATGAATAAAAATTTGATAACTACAAGTGCTGTATAAATTAATCAAGAAAACAATTATCGGATGAAGAAATGCTCCTCAACCTAACTAGTCAACTCAATAACCGTATGGCAAATTTTATCCACACTCAAATTTGCTTCGATAGTAAAAAAGGATGATGGATGCTTCAACCTCAATTTTTTCAAACTTATTTGCCACTCCAAGTCGCAAAACTTTTATAAAGGTCTTGAGCACTTATATATGCTGATTTTGTTACAGAAAACATTTTTGATAGGTTTGTTTTATAAATATTTAATTATTTAAATGGTGTAAATGCATATTTGTTTGAGTGTTTCCATGTTTAAATAGACCAATTATATGATGCGGCGTTAATTTACTGTAATAAATAAAATAAATTGCATTTTATTTCAAGTTTGAAATTAATATGCAAAAATATAATGAAGTAAAATCAAATAAAGATAAAAATTGGCAAAATATTTGACTAGTTTCAAATCACAAAACAGTCAATATGGTTGTTTTATGATTTAAAACTAGTCAAATATTTTTCCAATTTTTTTGCTTTATTTGATTTTCTTTATTACATTTTTGCGCTACTACAAAGTTAAATTTCAAAAAGCCCGCTCGTGGCGGCCATATTGAATTTTAGTACCACTCCAATTTGATAGATGGCAGCACATCGACTCATAATTTTACCATTGAGTTTCCCATCTAATGGGCTAGTCCGTTTAAATTAGAAATGGGAATCAGAAGGACGGTATCTGTATTACGGTAGGCGAAAAGTACGAATACGTGACGTAAAAATACTAGGTAAAAAGTAACTAGTATTTGAAACAGGTACGAACTTGGAACCGGAACGTAACATACCTGTTACTGAAAAATACTGATTTGTATCACGGGACCACATACTTTGATTTTCTTTTGCTATACGGAGAATGGTCGCACTGCGCAGCTTTATGAGTGCCTTTTAAAAGGAGATAGAAAACTCCGCCATTTTGAACCCTTATTACGTGTTGCCTACAT